TCTCGGATCGTAGCGTTCGGTTTTTCAGTATGAGAACTGTCATTAGCTCTTAATCGTAAGTTCATCTCGTAAGTCTTCGGCGAGCGGGCATTACTGTTAATCTCCTTCTCAACGATGTTACTCTTTGGAGCATGCTTCCTGGTTGGCCGGCGGCGTGGCGATGTATCGATGGATCTGTCATTTTAACTTCTAGAAAAGGATCGATATACATAATAATCGATTCTTTACCAGAGCTTCAAATGGGGAAACATCGATTACTGGGTCGAACCACGCATAAACTCGGAATCTTCTCGGGAACGACAATTCCGGCTGGAGATTCGGCGCTGGGTGCCTCGCGGAGAGCGGACGAAATTTACGAAGACAGATAAAAACCCGAGTCGGGAGACGGGGAACCTTCGTTAGTCAATAAAGGAGGTCGCATGTGCAGCCAGACGGAAAGCGAACGTAATTTAAACGGTGACTCGGAAGTTATTGGGATCCTCTCCGGGTTTCTCGGTGGGAAAATCCGTGCCAAAATCCACGTCCTCCTCGTGATGGAGTTTCGCTCGGGCTCGGGATGGGGATGGCGAGTCGCAAAAATTAATCCGACGCCTGGAATGTACTTATCAATCTCCAACTTCTCGCTCAACTTTTCCCAACTCCGCGGCTCGGGAGTTCGGGACTCGCCTACCGAGCGGGAATCTTTAAAGTACCCCTAGAATTTAATAAGAGGATGAAACAAGGATCAAACTTGCGTCGAATATCGTTTCTCTCAAGTATTCAAGTTTTACGTGCTCCGCCCGAGTCATGTGTTGATTCCGTCTACATAAACATTTTCCTCCTCTAGTCATGGACCGATACCAGGGTTGCCACAGAATTGGACGTATTTCTGTCAAACGGAGCTAAGCGCCATGGAAAAGCATTGCGAGTATAGGACGGAATGAGCCCGACGCCCGGTTCCGCCGCCAATCAAAGCCCCCCTCTACCTTCCTCCCCTATGGCGCTTAGTTCCATTTGACAGAAATACGTCCAATTGACAAAGTGAAGTCCCCTGACAAGTCCCAGATTTCCCTAACACATTTTGGTAAAATTCCCTCACAATTATAGATACGCCGCACATGATTTCAAAGACTTAATTTTAAATATAGTTTTCACGCAAAACCTGTTGTTCGAATTACCAAACCCATTCTGGAAAGCAAATAAAAGTGACTCAACAATTTTTCCCCGACACTTACTTCATTTTCCCGGCCTTTCTAAAATTCTCTGACATTTTCCGGTTTTCCCGGTATTCCCTGACTGCGGCAACCCTGTGTATGCTTTCTCATCAAAAAGTCACGTAAAGCACGAATTGTAAAAAGAAAATTACTATTAGTACCTCTTGACAAAGCAAAGAAACGAACATTTTCCGATGCCTCAATTCAATCTCCCCGCTCCTAAAATACATAATTCAAGTTAAATCGCACGCTAAATGCCACCGTCGCAGTCTTTGCAGTATGCAAATGTGACAACCTTAATATCAACTCTTCGGCTCAGGTATTACTCGTTGTTTACACGGGGGTGACAAGGAGGAGGGGAGGCACAATAACCCCCCACAGAATGGGAAAATAGCACTGCTTGTCAAGAAACCTGCTAAAATCGCTGCAAACCGCGATTTGATTCAAACAGACTGGTTTTTCACGTAAGCAGGAGAGGCAAATTCCGAAACAAATGCTGGATAAAAACGTTAATATCTTGGTTGAGAGTTAATGTCCGTAATTTTCTTTAGGTAAATTCTGTGTTACATGAAATTTTGAAGCAGTAACGTGTACAAGAATGTTTCATTTCGTACCTCGTCTCATGTTATATAAGTGAATGCTCTACAACAAAACATTACGACGATGTAACTGCATAAACGCGTGATTCGCTGAAGACTTCCCGCTGTCATAATTTTTTGGAATGGAAAAGACCAAACATCATCTTTTGAAAACTACCCTAAGTTTCTCTGTGTGTGCGAGAGATGATTTATGAAAATTACAAGCAATAACGTTGGTTTGACTCTATTGATAAAATAAAACAGAATCGGAGATTTTGAAACAGTGCAGACGAAATAAGCGTTTTTGTAGCTCCAATAACGCCGGTTCTCGCAAGCATTTGGATTTTATTAATTAAACAATTCCACGAGAAAAATTACAAAAACAAACAATTAAGGGAATAAGGTTATTAGAACAGAGCGCAAATAAAAAGCCTGAAGCACTCTTGGCAAATGCGAGGCTTGCTTTTAGGGAGAGTTTAATACGGTCCCACTCGTTGACTGTAAATCCACGTGTTGAATGGTATACCCCCAGAGTCAACTCCAAATCGGCTTGTTTACCAAACATCTGCGTAAAGCGTATTTAAATAGTAAACAATATGAGGGTAAGCGCAACGGCTGAGCACTTGCATCACAGACGGTGCGGGTGCATTGTGCATCACAGACGGTGCATTGTGCATCACAGACGGTGCATTCTGCATCACAGACGGTGCATTCTGCATCATTTCATGATGTACGAGAGATGGTAAGCGATTTTGGCCTCGCGTACTTCTTGCGCATTCAATCTCCTTGAGATCCTACTCATTGCATGTTTGCATTCAATCGAATTTGACAAAAATGTAAAAATAAAAATGAAAAATATATTTAAAAAAAAGAAGAAAAACTCGAGTTTCCAAATTTTATCTTGTTGACGAGGGCTAATGAATTTGATTAATACGCAGGTATTTGATGTATACTTATGGGCATTTTATCTAGATTTTTAGATTCTATGGAAACTTTGAGTTTTCAGCGTGAATTTAATCGAATTGCGTGTATTTGATCAAATCGTAACGTGTATTCGATCAAATTGTAAGGAAAGTTGCAAATTTCTTCGAGCCAACCTGTCTTTCGGGGAGCTGACGGGCGTCGCAGTTGAGTAGGATTCCAGTCGACGAGTCACAACCGCACAGGAAAAAACGCCTTCAAATACGCGAGATACCGAGTGGTTACATAGGAGTTAAAATAATTGTATCACCGAAATGAACGAAGAATTGGGCGGACGACCTGCTGAGTATGAACGCCGTTGACTCTGATGTTGCCAAATGTTTCGCGATAGTATTATTACTTATGAGTAATTGTTAAAACGACCGGTTTCCACCCGTTTCAACCAATAGGATCGCTCCAATTTTACTTTGTCCATCGCTTGGGCGTTCTTCCTTAGTGAGGCAGCGCCAGCGCTGCCTTGAGAACGCATCTCTCTACGCTCTGTTTTCGTGACCCGCGAACAGGCAACAAAACCGTAAATCATCATTCGCGCGACGAAAAGAAGATAAGGCACGCTATTTTTCAATGAAAAGAGCCGTCGTAAAAATTCGGAGCGGTCCAGAATAAACGGGGAAAACTGAGAACTTAATTTGTACCTATTTCTCTTCTATCCTACGTCATCTTGTCACTTGGTTGACAAACGGGCGTGATTCACTCAACGCGCGAGTTTTGGAAAGTGTTGAATTGCACGGCTCGCAGGAGGGGAGAAAGATTAAGCTCGTCTGTTGCTGTGAGCATCAATATACACTTTTTTCATTTTTATGATCGATTTCAGGAATCAAGGATTTTAGCTCTTTTGGCAAGAAGAGAAGGTGAACCAAGTTGTCACAAACCCAAAACAAACTTAAAATTCTTGCAGTGAATTCGACGCTTTTGGCCAGAAATTGCCAAACCTTTCTGTTTGTCCGGACTTGGGCTACCCTTGAGAACATGTCACCCTATGAAAGTGAGCACGACAGCGGGAAATCAAGCGAGAGGAAAATTTCCAGTCGGATCCGTGAAAATCCCTCACACGAGAGGGTGCGGATTTTTCTCGAGACTCCCGCGGTTCGCCCTGTCTCCCGCTTTCGCGAACGCCTTGCAAAATGCATTCCCTTCGGCTGTAGCCGACATCCCTGCAGCCGACAAAGGAATGCTGGCACGCGGAGGTTGCCAGCTCGCTGGAAAATCCCTCTTAAATAAAAAAGGGATGAGGCGCCCCTCAAACGATTTGGCATCGGACGGGACACACGTAAATTGATAAACACAGCGCCACGCTCGGCTTAATCACGGCATAATCCCCGGCAGCTACGTCCCCCCGTCGTGCGGTTATGGCACCGTAAATTGGATGAGTGAGGGGGGGGGCATGACGCAATAGTTGGGGGAGAGGGAGGGAGGGAGGGGGGACACGTGAAAGGATACATGTGGATTTTTCCCCAGTTCCTCTACTCGTTGTAACCGCTAATTATGCCGCCAGCCTGTCCGGAAATAGGGATTAGGCCGCCAAGTTGCCATTTTTAAATGCCTCTTTAATGATAATTTACGGTGTTCTATGATGCGTGGAGTCCGGGGGGGGGGGGGGAGGGTGGCGTCAGTGCCCTTCACTACTGCGGAGAAACGTCGTATGAACCTTCTGGATTTGCCAAATTTCCTTGGATAAAATACGAATTTTTAGTGAAATTTGCGAATATTTTCCCTCGCATTATTTGAATAATTTCATTCGCAAGTAGATTTGAATTATCTGGAAATTTCGAGAGGAAATTTCATTACTCGCCTTTAAAATAAACATTTCATTGGAGGAAATTTCATAATTTTTCCTCATGAATGAACATTTTACTAAAGGACATTTGGCAACTCTCGAATGTTCCTACGGCATTCTTCCTTAGCACGGCAGTAAAGGCCCTTTTCGCGGGTACGGTCACAAACGGACGTATTTCTACCAAACGGAACTATGTGCATTAAGACATGAGCCCTGAGACCCATAAGAATACATGCATAACAGGGCTCACGTCATAATGCACATGGTTTCGTTTGGCAGAAAAACGTCCAAATGTATATTAATGATCATTATTTTTAAAACAAATTTCCGAAAGGCGTCCAGATTTTTTTTTTTTAGAAATTGTTACAATACAAGAGACGGGAGAGCGTTTAAAGGATGGCGCGACACAGATAATGAGAGCCTATGCCAGTTGTCCAGTCTGACAGCAATTTCCACTTGCATTGTTCGCAGGAGCCAGGTCGTTAGGTCCAGCGATGAGACGGAAAAAAACGCTCGGCTACAACGCAGTGAGCAGATTCTAAGCGGATCGGATGAATCGGTGAGTTTTTAATTATAACTTCCATTATTTTCCTCCATTCGATCCACGATAAAATGCGGAATCCTATTTTCCATGTCAGAAGATATCCTCTTCCACCATCGATCCTTTCCACTGGTGCGGTTGACAAATTTCCATATAAAATCCTCACTTACTTAGAGCAATAGCTTGATAAAAGAAAGAAACAAAAAAAGAAAAGAAAAAAATAGGCCAAATTAATTAATTACTTTATCAGTCAAAACTAGATAAACAGGGGGAGAGAAAAAGAAAAGCAAATTGGCAATTAAGCATAAAAACCTGACTGTTTTGTGATTCTATTTCGTAAAATAGGGATTATATCGATAAGAGTACGGAGATCAATACGAGCAGTCTTCGCGATAAATTTCATTTGTTACTTTCTGCGAGCTTTTGCCACCGCATGAGAAAAGAGCTCGTATTACATTTCAAAGCTCAAAAATAAAATTCAGAAAGGATTGCTTTCCCAGTTGAAAAATGAAACGAAATGTCTGTATTTTGGAGACATCAGAGACAAATAGAAATCTCCAATTGTCCCTTGGCGACTTCTTGGAGAATTTCTTTTTGGCGTTTCTCTGATTATCTTTTGGAATTACCTTCTAATTGGACGTGTTTCTGCCAAACGAAACTTTGTGTATTAAGACATGAGCCCTGAAACCCATAAGAATATATGCATGACAGGGCTCTTGTCATAATGTACATACTTCCGTTTGGCATAAATACATCCAATTGGCCGTGGAGCAACATGCCGAGCGACTATTTCGATAAACCAGCCAATGTTTGGTTTCCTCTTTGAGCACTAGCTGTGCTCAACACGCAGCTCAACATCCACCAGGCGACCCGGATTGAGGTGAGTGTTTCTTACCGTAGGGAAAATTTGAGTCCCTGAAGATTAGAATTTCCACCATGAATAGGCTGGATGATGACATTCTAATGTTTAAGATACGTTTTGGTACATAAGAAACTTCAAAATATCAGGATACATCATGGATTAACGACTGTTTGAAGCTCAAATCCAAGGACGATTCGGTTTTTGAGAAAAAGTTACTTTAAAATTTAACACTTAACGTATCAAAAGTGTCCAATTATACGGCGACTTAGCGCCTTTCATTGAATTAAGAATGAAGTGAAACGCGGGGGATTTATTTTAATATGCTTTTCACCAGAAAATCAAATTCCGATTTTCACCCTAACGTGGCGAAAATCACTCCATTTAGTTGAGATTTCCTCCCGTACACTCTACCGTCTTTCTTCGTCTGAACGATCACTTGTGGGGAAAAATATACACATCACCACAAAATTTGTATCTGGGAACGTTTGGAATAGTGGCGAATCTTGAAAGACGGCAACACTGTTTTTCCTACATTTGAACGTATGTGAAACAATCGATTGTAAATCGATATTATAATCGATTAAATCGATATTTTTAAGGGATTTGAACGGCGGAAGAACAGTGTTGCCAAATTTCAAGAAACACCACTGTTTTGAAGTAGGTCTAATTTGCGAAATAGATTGCACAACACTTCACCCATCAATCAATAGAAGGCAAGTGCTAATGTTCGAAAGCCCACGGTGGCCACGGGGCAAGATCGCTTGACCCTTTGTGCGACGAAGAACCATGTTAACGACAATGCGATAAAAAGCTTCGATGACAAGAGCTGTACCTAAAGTTCCGTGCGAGCCGACGACAGGTTTCAAGCTTTCTGTCAAAGTTCGAAGTTGCTACGAAACTGAGGTTCGCTCTCGAAATTCTGCGTCACAGACATTGCCATGCTGCGCTTTAAAACGTTGTCACGTTCTACGGAAAGGAACCTTAATTGTTATCTCGTGAAAAGTTTGTGGTACGACTTATGAAGTCGGTTACGCGGTCTCCAGACGGAACGAAAATTTGACATCACAGAGAGCTTTTTGCGTCGACCAGCGGCCGAAACGTGTTAGGCGCAATGCGTGAAGTATTCCAGCACTCTTGTAGGCGCTAATATGCGTTCCGTTCTGACCACCGACAGCACTATGTTTGGCGCAATGCGTGAAGTATTCCAGCACTCTTGTAGGCGCTAATGTGCGCTACTATTGATCAGAAAACTAACTAAAATAATTTCTTAAATATTTCTATCCTAAAGAAGTTGAAAATTAAAATGTTCAGCATGTCAGGAACTTTCGCGTTCTTGTTTGCTACATTGGGCCCGAGGGCTCCACAGCCTCAAACTCGCTGACCAGTCATTTTGCAATCAGAACCTTCAATTTCTGGCTCAGTTCAGGATCAACGTATGTGCCATTAGTTTTTCTATACTAGTGTGCAAAGGAAGAACGTCATATGAGCCTTCAGCCGTTGCTCACTTTCTTTAGATATAACATACATTTTCAAATTTTTATTGTAATTTTTCAGAAAATTTTATTCGCAACCAGATCCGTATTGTCTGAAAATTTCAAAAAGAAAATATTCAAAACTCCCCTCAAAAATAAAGCTTTTACCAAGAGAAATTGGGCAAAATTCGAATGTTCATACGGCGTTTGCCTTGACATGACGGTATACGGATAGATGATTTTACGGATGGGTCAGATTTTAGTTCCTCATTTCGAAATGACGTCGTTTACCCGTCCTAACAGCGTTTAGCGTGCTTTTGACTCCTAGTGCATTTGAAATGGTCTCAATTTAGCCGAGAAGCACGATTTTTTGGGGCCGCAGAGTTTGAGCGATAAACCCCGCATTTCTCTCCCCCATCTAGTTAGGCCCTACCTCCATCCACCTTGGGCTTTGGTGGTGAGCGAGGGGGGGAGGGGGGGCAGGGGGAGGAGAAACGGAAAAGGGCGAAAAAGCTCAAAGAGACTGGCGACAGCTGCGGAATGGAGCGGAGAGATTTAGCCGCGTGACAACAAGTGAGAAATGACCCGCCAACACGCTTTGCCAAATTTCATGACGAGCCCACCGTATTTTTCCGCCATCGTCTGTTTCGAACGAATTAACTGCAGTTAAAATCATCGTAGTTTAGCAATGCGACCTTAAGCACAGCTGTACTAATGAAAGCACACAATAAGTAAGTAAAAATAGTGTATTTACAACCAGAATGTTATTGAATATTGAAGAGGAATGACCACATTTTTAAACGTACGAAGAAAAAATCGTCCTTAATGCGTGCTTCAGGTTTAAGTTTTTCAGGGGAGAGTTTTTTCAAGCAGAACCGGATAGTCCAAACTTTCGATTTCGATAATAACCCACTCGAGTATACTGCCGTGCTAAGGAAGAACGCCGTATGAACCTTCAGCCATTGTCAAAATTCCTTTGATAATATACGAATTTCCTGGTAAACTTATGAATATTTTCCTTCCAAATTTTCAGATAATTTTGTTCGCAATTTTACCTGAAGTTCCTGAAAATTTCAAGAAAAAATATTCATAACCTTCCGCAAAAATAATCATTTTATCGAAGGAAATTTGGCAACCCTCTTATGTTTATACGGCGTTCTTCTTTAGCACGGCAGTATAGCTCAGAATAAAATGCGATCGATTCAGTCCATTTTTGTGCTGACGGAGGCCATGAAATCGCAATATAGCCTACCACTTTTGATTCGATAGGATGGTGGTTTGGCATTTTTGGGTATATTTCAATATTTTCTTAAAATACTCATGAGTATTGCGTCTTGATGTTGAATTTTTCGGCAAAAGAGCTCCTTTCCCCATGAATGATCGCATGCATGTTAATTCAGAAAAGACAAAGGAGCCGAGAAAAATATGCGTGGTTTAGTGTCACTTCCGATTTTACATGGGAGGAAAAGCACAACCTGCTTCAGCCTGCTGCTGCTCTTGATTTCTACAATATCTCTGATGGCTTCGACACGAGTAAGAACTGTGTAAACACCGGAAACACCCATATTCCAATGGTCAATCTCCGAAACCAAGTATCACCAGTTGCGACGTTGCAGATTTCCTGTCATACTTATTGTTTTCTTGGCAAATTAGTCAACGTAATTTCTTGAAAACTTCATTTGATTCTTTTTTCTGTGAACAGAAAATTCTGTATAAATGCAATACCACCTACCCATACTTTTCACCGCCAAAACATAAGCTAGGAGGTTAGGTGTCCTCGGTAAAAAAAAAAAAAACTCTTCCAATGTCAAGACGCAAGTAATTTTTTTGGAAATACTCGTTCTGTGTAGAGGTAAGTGTTTATTATAGTAATTAAGTGTCTTGAATGAGAGTATCGTGAGAAATTTAAGTAAATCAAGCGTCCAAATCATTATTGTAGTCAGACTTTCTCACCTGGGTCAGCTTCCAGTTATGTAAAGTTTTATGTTTCTTTTAAACAATTTTAATGCTTTTAAGTCCTTCATTTTCAAGTGCGCGTTTGAAATTAAAGTTGTGGTGAAATTTTTTGCCCGTAATTTTCATTTTGAACACTTACTCGGTACAGCAGTCCCCATAGGATGCCGTGTATTTTGTTCTGTACCACTCGGTTCCTAACCTCTTTTTGCACTGGAAGGTATGAGTAGGTGGTATTGATAAATTTCAAGCTACAAAGTTGTCTTCTTCCTCTTTGAAAACATAAATTAGGAACAGGAATTTTAAAATACCGCAATAAAGATGTGTGGTTTCGCTCTTTTATCATTGATTTACTCATGGGTTGAGCTAATTTGGATTCTCCTTCCTGTATGAATCGAATCTGCGTATTGTTATTTTCTCCCTGTGAGGTTGTGAGGCATAACAGCAACACTTTTCACTAACAATTGAATCTCATTATGAAACTTAGCAATTACTCCTTTCTCAACGACGATGAGTTAACGTGCGCCAATGGACTGCACGACGCAATTCTGCTGTGCTAAGGAAGAACGCCGCATCAACATTCGAGCGTTGCCTAATATCCCCCTTTAAAACATGTATTCTTCATGAAAGTTATGCATCTTGTTTCTTGAAAAATTCAAATATTTTAGGGAAAATTGCAAACAAAATTGCCCGAAACATTTGAAGAAAAATATTCACAATTTTCCGGAAAA